AAGGGAAGCAGTTCGGTTCCTGTGTGTATACAAAGTTTCATCATTAACTGTGACCAGCGAATGAACTGTGCCCCAGAAACGAACCCGACGTTCATGTCTTTAGGAGCCCGACTTGTTGCCTTGGAAACCAAAAAATAAGAACTTATGAAATCCTGCATATCACTTTCAACATTTTCCTGGTATGTATACAAAGTTTCACTTAATCCGCCAAAGAGGACCCTGCCTTTTCTTTATCTACATCAAATAATAAACAATACACGCCGTATCTTCGAAGAGAAATCGAGGGGAAACATTCGAAACAATTTTGAAAACAAAACCTGATAAAAAGTATATGTCTGTACACCAGTTCAGGAATGTTAACTATCATTATTACCCCGAGAAGATCCGGGTTATAATTGATCTTCAGCAACCCATTCTTGTTGTCAGTGGTGACTAGCGATATCCTGTCATCCCCTTTAGCATAGCGTGTCATCCTCATAGCGTAGATCCTCATGGGGTCAATCAAAGGCGTGTCTGGTCCAGACTCGATAATTTACAGAGCGATGTCAATAGCTGTTATATTGCGCAGTGTGAGTTGAACAACAAATAAACAAACCATTACTCCTCCGTGGCCACTGAAACGTACATTTTCTGGCAAATGTTTGTGTAGGTAAAAATATCTCCCTCTTATTAATTTTATCGAATATCTTATATAAATGCTGTAATTCTGGGCGCCTTTAAAAAATGATTTAATATATACTCCACATTTTACGTTAAACCAAAAGGTTAAAACACGCTTTGAACAAATTGATAATACATGTATTTTCCATTCAATTACCCACAATAAAAAAGCATCATCATAGACTCTATAGAGAATAATCTGGTATAAGAATCAGGGATGGTATTCTAATCCACCCAGGACGGATCACACACGAGGTAAGCGCATTTCACTTTGACAATGGAAGACATGTTAGCGCTGTAAACACCATCACCACCACCACGTGAGTAGGTAGGGGGCGCGTTTACTTGTATGGTGTGACACTGGTATTAAGGTGTAGTGTTTACTGCGTAGTACTGTACAAAGCAGGGATACATCTGGGGTATCCCATGACAACACTTTATGCGGATCACCGACTGTGTACAAGACGCCCTGTTTCTACGTCGTGTAAACAGCGGGCGTCAATAGACGTCTTAACCCTATTGGTCTCAGTTTATAAACCTGTGATTAAGTGCGACCTCACGCAGCAGGGACAGTCGAGCTGAAAGTGAGTGAGTACGGTTTTGCGCCGCTCTTAGCAATATTCCAACAAATCACTGCGGTGTCACACATTTTACCCATGAGGGGGATCGAACCCGGGCCTTCAGCGTGACCAAAAAACGCATTAACCACAAGGCTACCCCACCGCCCCTCGAGTTTTCAGACAGCTAGATGATGTATGTTTGTAACATATGCGAAAAATGATATTCAGTTGGGTATTTTTCTATTGTCATTTAGACCTCCCGTTTAATACATACTACACAAAAGAAGTGAAAGAACTCCGACTCTTTCATATAATGTTCTTTAATTTATTTTGAGCAGTATTTCAGAGCATTTATTCACCTGATGAAAGAATAAATCTATACTCCGAGACGTTATGTTCCTCATAACAAAGAAGTTGACACCCATACATTTTCTTCCTTTTTCAATACCTGCTCTGAAAGTAGGAGACAAACAATTGTTTTGGACCCACAATAACTTTTTCTACAACATCCTGTATGACCAGTGAACAATATTATTGGGAGGGGTGGGGAGGGGGTAAAATCGGATGGCAAATGATCATATTTCCATCATTTTCGGGAACAGATTATTTTTTCTGAATGACATCCCTCGCCGCGAATAGCTGCAAAATTGCTGATGCGGCGTTAAGCAATATTCACTCACTCACTCACTGAATGACATCCAAGTCTTTAGAATATCTATATAATTCCGTACTTTTTTATGGCTTGTACCACATCATTTGGTTTAATAACTCGAATACGTCAATGCAAATAACCAAGTCGGATGTAGTAATGACTTGGGGCGGTCGGGTAGCCTAGTGGTTAAAGCGTTAGCTCGTCACGCCGAAGACCAGGGTTCGATTCCCAACATGGGTACAACGTGTGAAGCCCATTTCTGGTGTCCCCCGCCGTGATATTGCTGGAATATTGCTAAAAGTGGCGTAAAACCGAACTCACTTAGTAATAACTTCACGCCAGTCTGCAGCCGCAGCCAGAATAGGGTGAGACCATGTGATGTCATGTTAAATATGGCCGACTTGAAGGTTCAGTAGATCTACTGAGATTGATTTGTTTGTTTGTTTGTTTGTTGTTTAACGCCACACTCAGCAATATTCCAACTATATGACAGCGGTCTGTAAATAATCGAGTCTGGACCTGACTCATGATATCATGAGCATCGATCTCCGCAATTGGGATACGATGACATGCATCAACTAAGTCAGCGAGTCTGACTACCCGATTCAGCATGTCGCCTCTTACAAACATAGTTGCCTCTTTTGGCAAGCCTGGGTTGCTGAAGACCTATTCTACTCCAGATCTTCACGGGTCCAACTGGGATTGAGGTCACAATAGAGTTAATACTCCAATACAGATATATATTAATTATATCAGATATATGTTTAGATACACACCACTGTAGGGAAATACTGGCGTCCATGTGATAAACTTTAATATTCAGGACAAAACGATATCCTACTTCACGGCAGTGGCTGTAGAGCAAACTTCATTACTTGATTACATACTGATGAATGCATGATTGTGTGTATTACGATGAAAAATCCGAATTTCAAATTCAATTCAATGTTTTTAACAGGGAGTCAAATTCACCCAATTGTGTTTTTAACGATGAACCAGTTACATACTTCAGTCACCATTTTATGCTACAGTGTTAAGAAAAGCGACAAAACCCTTTCCATATTCATTAGAAATCTGACCCGTGAAGATTCCGGGGTAGTATAGGTCCTCACCACCCTATGCTTGCCGTAAAAGGCGACTATGCTTGTCGTAAAAGGCGACTCACGGGATCGGGTGGTCAGGCTCGCTGACTTGGTTGATATATGTCATCGATCCCAATTGGGTGGATCGATGCTCATGATATCAATCACTGGATTGTCTGGTCCAGACTCGATTATTTACAGATCGCCGTCATATAGCTGGAATATTGCTGAGTGCGGCGTTAAACAACAAACCAACCATTAGAAATCTCTCTGCTCAAAACAGAGTCGACTGTACGATTCCGGTTACACCATGAGCACGTGTTCATGAATCACTTTCAAATAGTGACGATACCAGGTGTTCTGTCCCACCGGTGACACCATCACAAACACATGCAAAGGCAAGTGAATTGTTCGCCTGAAAGTTACATCTATTAGTTAAGTTTCTTCTGATATTCAAACCCTGTGTGTATACATGTAGTTATGGCCCGCGATACACGGTGTAGGGATCGCGTGAATAATCACCTCCTTACAGGGTAAGCTTGTTATTGAATATACAGTAAACTACGGTTATAACGAACTCCAAGGGACCACTTATTTTAGTTCGTTATAACCGTAGTTCGTTATAAGCATATATACAGCATATTTACAACAAATGGCCGGGACTAAAAAGTAAGTTCGTTATAACCGTAGTTTACTGTAGTGTATGAGATAGCATGAAATGCATGCCTCGAGTCCTCCCCGGCAATCCTGGATTCAGAGACCTGCTTAATTCTGACAAATATGCTAAAATCATCGATTTGCACAACCACCTGGTTATAATTCCGTCTTGAGTGAAGCAGTATCTTTAAATCTCGATGAATGAAGGCCATTCCCGATATACAAAGTCCTCCATCACCGTACTCTCTACTTAAATACTCTTAGTGTATCTGTCCCGCTTTCACAGACGCCGAGGTATTGAAGTAGCACACCCGTTGAGGCGTTCTCTTCACTTACAGGGGTATCAGTATCACATCATGCGTGTCGGGTCTCTCAGTTTGAAGTGGATATTTTATCGGACAGAAAGGCAATAAACTGAACAACGTATTCACTGTGTGCCCTGGATCCAGATATGTCAGCCGTCCCATGAGAATAAAACACCCACAGATCTGCGTGAAGGCGCTATTCTTACATTTCATACTCAGGGTGGGTAAGGTTCAAGTCACGAAATTACATTGTACGAACCGGGGGCTCGGGTGGCAAAGTCGTCCAAGGCGCCGCGATTCGCTGTGCAGAGTTGCGTCCCTTGGGCACGCCAGAAACCTATGAATCCCGGTTCGCCCCAATTATGTTTCTAGGTTTGTCAGCATCATACCCGTGCTCGTGGGTTTCACCGAAGTGGTTAACGTCTTAGACCTGCATCACTTCGGGCTTTCCTCCCACATTAAACTGACACGCCGTGATGTAACTGGAATATTGTTAAAAGCGGCGTTAAACCAAACTCAGTCACTCACTCACATTGTATGAAACAGCAACTCACAATACGGATGTTACATACAATTATAGCTAAAATGGATAGAATTATCATTAAACCGCCCGCATGTTATCAGAAATGAGCGGGCCACTGTAACTTGATTATGCCCTCATATTGCTTGTCGATGGGCCATTATCGCGCCCGTTGTTAGGTGACGTCATAGGATTGGGATAGGTGACGTTACGTTCAATAGTGACGTTATCTGGTTTGTTCTAAATTTATGACGTTTCCGTATTTGTAAAAGTGGGTCAGTGACATTGCAATAAATGTTTCAAACCCGATATTGTTCTTTCTTTTTATTTCATAACAAATTCCATCCATTTCAGCTATAATAACGGTAACGCTCTTTTTCAGGGCATTATCATTTGCAGAAGCCCGCGGTCTTTTCAACTGGAATGGAAAACCTGGGCTTCTGCAAATGATAATGCCCTTAAAAATAGCGTTACCCTTATAATGATGCATAAGAAAAATAATAAGAATAATCCTCGTATCACATCAGCACTCTAGACACACTAGACACAATAATGTATAAATGTATTTTATTCAAAATTATAGTTCATTATCGAAAGAAAATATACACTGGTGTTTGGCTAAAACAAACAAGAAATGAAGTATTTGATCGGCATTCAGATGTGACACATATAAGGAAGAGAATTTATGGATGTCAACTTCTTTATTATGCGGAACACAACGTTTCGGAGTATATGCTTACTTACCTGATGGAGTAACTATATACTCCGGAAAGCTGTATTTCTCAGAATAAAGAAGTTGACATCCATAAATTCTCTTCCTGTACAAGAAATGATTTTTTGATGGAGATGTATTTGATACGACATCATAGTTGTGTTTTGAACCATAAGCCTAGTAACGTTTTGCTAACGTTTGTAATTTTTGAGGCAAAACTAATTTTCAAGTGTATATTTGCTTTTGCCCGGCAGTGTATTACAGTAGTTACATAAATAGTCTTAACACATCTGCCCTTGCCGTGCACTCGTGATGCCCATACATGCATTGATGTTTACAATTACGTGCTACATCATATGAATGCATGATTGTAGTAAGTCTGTCGGTAAAGAAGAGGCGATCAATCTCTGTTTGCGAGAGTTTCGCTGTGATGGATAAGGTCCGAAGTTTAAATATGTAGATGTCGGGTTTGATTCCCTGGGAAATGTAATTTAATCGTCGATTCATCTGATTTAACCTTGTCCCCATTCTCTACCCATATTCGCATTTGCAAATGAAAAATAAACACTTCTTATGTGCGCATTCTGTTCTCAGATTGAGGTGGGTGATTGGTCCTGGCAAACAGTTCCCCGGCTGGTACTATCAGAGCTCCAAAAATGCCAAACTATATTTCAAACACCTTGTACGTCCATCGTCTGTTCAATCGATAATGATTAATTGGTCGTCATTGGTTACATTATGTATTTTCGCCACATTGGTACAATGTGTAAAGCCCTTGACAATGCTTGAATATTGCCGAAAGGCACAAACCATACTCACTCACTCACTCACTCACACACCAGCTTGTATAACGTATTGTGTAAAAAGTTGCTAATCATTGGTGAGTTAGCGCTGTGACCCGTATGTTGAAGATTGCTGCAAACATGATCGTGAAGGTCAGGATGAAATCAAATCAAAATTTAGTTGTTCGATCTGTGTCCTCCAATATATCTTTACCAACAGCCATTTCTATATCACTGTTTGGAAGACTGCCATTTTTCGTTTCGGTTTCGCCATCTTGCTGGAATGCTGGGTTGGTAATGGCGTATTTGCCCGTCCGATGTGCAGGTTTCGCTGGGCCCCAGCTGTCAGTCGGCTTCACAGCATTTCTGATGGACTAGAACAGTAGAGCATGTACTCGTTTGTTTGTTCGTTTGTTTGTTTGTTTGTTTGTTTGTTTGCTGTTCAAGCCCGCACTCAGCAATATCCGAGCTATATGACGGCGGTCTGTAAACAATCGATTCTGGACGAGACAATCCAGTGATTAACATCATGAGCATCGATCAACGCAAATGGGAGACGATGACATGCATCAACCAAGTCAGCGAGCCTGACCACCCGATCCCGTTAGTCGCCTTTTACGACAAGCACAGTCGCCTCTTCCGACAAGCACAGTCGCCTCTTACGACAAGCACAGTCGCCTCTTACGACAAGCACAGTCGCCTCTTACGACCATTACAGTCGCCTCTTACGACATGCACAGTCGCCTCTTACGACAAGCACTGTCGCCTCTTACGACATGCACAGTCGCCTCTTACGACAAGCACAGTCGCCTCTTCCGACAAGCACAGTCGCCTCTTACGACAAGCCCAGTCGCCTCTTACGACATGCACAGTCACCTCTTCCGACAAGCACAGTCGCCTCTTACGACAAGCACAGTCGCCTCTTACGACAAGCACAGTCACCTCTTCCGACAAGCACAGTCGCCTCTTACAACAAGCACAGTCGCCTCTTACGACAAGCACAGTCGCCTCTTACGACAAGCACAGTCGCCTCTTACGACATGCACAGTCACCTCTTCCGACAAGCACAGTCGCCTCTTACGACATGCACAGTCGCCTCTTACGACATGCACAGTCACCTCTTCCGACAAGCACAGTCGCCTCTTACGACATGCACAGTCGCCTCTTACGACATGCACAGTCACCTCTTCCGACAAGCACAGTCGCCTCTTACGACATGCACAGTCGCCTCTTACAAGCACAGTCGCCTCTTACGACATGCACAGTCGCCTCTTACGACAAGCACAGTCGCCTCTTACGACAAGCAGCTCATCTAACCAGGATCTTCACGGGTGGTAGAGCATGTAGACAGTCACAGGGAGGGTTATGCCTTCGACTATCTTACTGTTCAAAATTCAGTGAAATTCACTGTTGACAATTGCGACTTTGATTATTTCACAAAGCGTCTCTACGTTAAGCATGACTGACTTCGCTAAGTGTAATGTTAAGTTTACACAATCAGATGACGTTTTTAGTGTATGTGGATTCAGTATTCCCTGAGAACTATAGTCTTACAAATTTTCAAGCCTGGGAAAACACACCATCAACTATATAATTATTTAAATAACACTCATTTACATAAGGCATCAACATTCTTTAAACAAATATGGTTGTTGTTGTTTAATAGCTAAACGGTTGTCTCCCTTGGTTTCTGTTTTTTGTTCCCGCCGTGTTATGGCTGGAAATTGCTAAAAGCGGAGTAAAATCCTCACTCACTCACTTACTCACACTTGTGTGATTTTGTTGGCTGTGTGTTATCTAAATCTGACGGTTCAGATCGTTTATATATCACCAACATCTTGTTTATCTGAACACTCACTAAACTTAGAGATTGTAGTAAGATTGGTACTTCCACAGCATATGGAGGGAAAGAAGTTACCCTAGTGATGGAAACTTTCTATTGTACTCACGCCATGCCTTATGATCTGTATCACCATGGTAACGAAGATGACACCAATGGGCACGCTCACCATCACCCATCCAACATCTTGGGCCCACGGTGGGAACATATAGTCGCCATAGTAACTGGGGCTATACTGGACGAAGGATACGACGATCATCACCTGTAGAACACACAGTGGGTTGCAGATGCTCAACAACTAGCGGAGATGTGGACATTATTTGAAAAGAAATATAATTTCTTGATAAACCTCAAATGTTGATATATATTTATCAGCAGTTGGGTACATTTCTAAAGAGGGAGTGCGCGATGCAGTCTAGGGTCATTTCCAGGCGTGGGGCAAGACATGGTATTAGTCATGAGACATGAGCTGGGGGGCTAACAAAGTGGTGTATCGGGGCCTTAGATTAAACAATTGAACTATGCCTGTACCCCTTAAGTATGTAGTGAGTGAGTTTAACGCCGCTTTTAACAGTATTCCAGTTATATCGCGGCGTGTCAGCTTAATGTGGGAGGAAAGCCCGAAGTGATGCAGGTGGCAGACGTTTACCACTTCGTAGAAACCCACGAGCACGGGTATTGTGCTGACAAACCTTGAAACATAATCGGGGCGAACCGGGATTCGAACCCACAATCATAGGTTTCTGGCGTGCCCAAGGGACGCAACTCTGCACAGCGAATCGCGGCGACTGGGCCACCCGTGCCCCCCCCCCCCCCCCCCCCCCCCCCCTTAAGTATGTAAGTTAGTATGTATGTAAGAACTTATGGGGGACTGCATCGTGTTTGTTCCATGATACTCAAAATAATATAGTCATCTCTTCAAATTACTTAGCATCAATGAGATGTGGACTAACACAGGGTAGTGTAGTTTGTTGGTTTGTTGTTTAACGCCGCGCTCAGCATTATTCCAGCTATATGACCACGGTCTGTAAATAATCGAGTCTGGACCAGACAATCCAGTGATTGACATCATGAGCATCGATCTACGCAATTGGGACACGATGACATGCATCGCCCAAGTCAGCGAGCATGACCACCCGATCCCTTAGTCGCCTGTTACGACAAGCACAGTCGCCTGTTACGACCTTCTCTATCCGGATCCTCACGGGTCTAGTTTAGTAAAGGTTCACGTCTGTGTGGCGTCTTACAATGATGGCTAGGGGCGTGACGACCAGCCACGTGGCCTGCCAGTAGTAGTTGGGCTGGAACCCCAGCATGAGTTCCACATCTCTACAGAACTTCTTTAACCCTGCAATCACAGACATCATGTAGAATATAACAAACACAATAACTGTATGACGTATAACGTATAACGTCAACGCCAAATCAACGTCAACGGCAGGCCTCGATTATCCGAAAAAAACAAAAAGGCGTAAAAGGCAAAATAGCGGTGAAAATTACATGAATGGATCACTGAAAATCATTAATGACAACATATATGTGTGTGTATGCGAGTGTGCGTGAAATATATTGCTTGTGGTAGTATTCTAATAAATTTGTGAAAATCATTTATTACAACATATATTATGTGCGAGTGTGCATGTGTGCGTGTGTGCGTGAGTGCGTGTAATATATTTCTTGTGGTAGTACTCTACTAAATGTGTGTCGGTGAAATGAATAAAAAAATAAGTACTTCTGAGTTCCAATGTTAAGTTTTAGCAGTAAAAAGAGCACATATGTAAGGGAAAATAGTAACAGTTTGAATGACACTACCACAGAAGATTAACACATTGGTGTGTAGCGTATGAAGAATCACAAGAAGGTTTCCGGTATTCGGCGGTTGACAATATTTTTATATACTCGTCTATAAGTGAAAGATACCTAAACTACATGTGGATTTTACCAAAGCGTTCGACAGTGTCTCTGATAAAAGATAATATTTGTTCAATCAACAAATGAATAATCAGTAAAATCTTGTGTGAGGTTTAATAATTCATTTTCTGAAACCTTCAGTGTCCATGTTGAGTCCGTCAGGGTTGAGGCTTAAGCCCTTATTTATTTCCCATGTTTATTAAGAAGTTTGCCATCTAGATTGAGGAAAGTTGCCAACCAGAAATCCAGTTGCATGCTGTTCTGATACATTTGTTTCTTTGTTATTCGCAGATGATATTTTATCATCCAAAACTGGCTCCCACAGGAGATATCGCTTTGATTAGATCAAGCGATATCTACACTGTAGATATCGCTGCAATGAAATTACATCACAATGCTTTGAAGACAATTGTGACGTCACCGGTTACCATGACGTCACAATCAAATGACATCACTAATGGCTCTGCTACTGAAGCTGTTAGCAGTACTTTTTACACTGAAAACACTGCTAATTACTGTCTACAAATTGAAAAAGTGGGAAGAATGATGTTGGATGATAAATAAAATCTCATCCGAGTGTCTTTTGATATCAAATATATCAACACTCGTTAATAAAAGTGGGAAAAATCCTCGGCAAGACTCGGAATTTTTCCGCTTTTATCAACTCGTGTTGATATATTTGATATCAAAAGACACTCGGGTGAGATTCTCTATATCCCACTTTCAGATATTATTGTGGGTTTGCAGAAACCGAATTGACACTTTTGAGATATATTGCATTGAAAATGTATTGGATGTTTCAGATCAAACTTAAGTTAATGGTTTCAAAAAGGGAGGACGTCTATTGAAAAACGGATTCACAAAGGCACTTGACTGTAGTGTGTATATTTATTGAAATATTAGGCGTTATGTATTCTAGAAATCTCTCGTGGTCCAGACACTTCGAAAATAAATACAGTTTTATAAGGAAAAGGCTCTATTTTGCATTTTGAAGTCATTATGTAAAGAAGATACTCTTAGCGATCTGTATTTTAGAACATTTGACATGAAAATAACCCTACTATTGTTTTATGGATCAGAGGTATGGGGGTTGTATCAAAATGATCAAATGGAAATTTTACATATGTTGCATCAGTAGAAGCTATTACAGACGCAGACTGGTAGGCATAGAAAGGTATACACTGTACCATTTAGTGCACCCATTAAAAACTTACCATACACCCATATGACGGCGACCAGCTCACACAGGCAGATTAACAACAGTGCGTAACTGGCACAATAGTCGTTCATCAGTGTCAGTACCCAAATTCCACCCTGAAAGTCAGGTGTAACAGTTCATTAGTGTTAGTAGCTGTATACCACCCTGAAAGTCAGGTGTAACAGTTCATTAGTGTAAGTAGCTGTACACCACCCTGAAAGTCAGGTGTAACAGTTCATTAGTGTTAGTAGCTATACACCACCCTGAAAGTCAGGTGTAACAGTTCATTAGTGTCAGTACCCAAATTCCACCCTGAAAGTCAGGTGTAACAGTTCATTAGTGTTAGTAGCTATACACCACCCTGAAAGTCAGATGTAACAGTTCATTAGTGTTGGTAGCTATATACCACCCTGAAAGTCAGGTGTAACAGTTCATTAGTGTTAGTAGCTATATACCACCCTGAAAGTCAGGTGTAACAGTTCATTAGTGTCAGTAGCTGTATACCACCCTGAAAGTCAGGTGTAACAGTTCATTAGTGTTGGTAGCTATATACCACCCTGAAAGTCAGGTGTAACAGTTCATTAGTGTTAGTAGCTATATACCACCCTGAAAGTCAGGTGTAACAGTTCATTAGTGTTAGTAGCTGTATACCACCCTGAAAGTCAGGTGTAACAGTTCATTAGTGTCAGTAGCTATACGCCACCCTGAAAGTCAGGTGTAACAGTTCATTAGTGTTAGTAGCTATACACCACCCTGAAAGTCAGATGTAACAGTTCATTAGTGTTGGTAGCTATATACCACCCTGAAAGTCAGATGTAACAGTTCATTAGTGTTAGTAGCTGTATACCACCCTGAAAGTCAGGTGTAACAGTTCATTAGTGTCAGTAGCTATACGCCACCCTGAAAGTCAGGTGTAACAGTTCATTAGTGTTAGTAGCTATACACCACCCTGAAAGTCAGATGTAACAGTTCATTAGTGTTGGTAGCTATATACCACCCTGAAAGTCAGGTGTAACAGTTCATTAGTGTTAGTAGCTATACACCACCCTGAAAGTCAGATGTAACAGTTCATTAGTGTTAGTAGCTGTATACCACCCTGAAAGTCAGGTGTAACAGTTCATTAGTGTCAGTAGCTATATACCACCCTGAAAGTCAGGTGTAACAGTTCATTAGTGTCAGTAGCTGTATACCACCTTGAAAGTCAGGTGTAACAGTTCAGTAGTTTTAGTAGCTATATACCACCCTGAAAGTCAGGTGTAACATTTCATCAGTGTAAGTAGCTGTATTCCACCCTGAAAGTCAGGTGTAACAGTTCATTAGTGTTGGTAGCTGTATACCACCTTGAAAGTCAGGTGTAACAGTTCATTAGTGTCAGTAGCTATATACCACCCTGAAAGTCAGGTGTAACAGTTCATTAGTGTCAGTAGCTGTATACCACCCTGAAAGTCAGGAGTAACAGTTCATTAGTGTTAGTAGCTGTATACCACCCTGAAAGTCAGGTGTAACAGTTCATTAGTGTCAGTAGCTATATACCACCCTGAAAGTCAGGTGTAACAGTTCATTAGTGTCAGTAGCTATATACCACCCTGAAAGTCAGGTGTAACAGTTCATTAGTGTCAGTAGCTATATACCACCCTGAAAGTCAGGTGTAACAGTTCATTAGTGTCAGTAGCTATATACCACCCTGAAAGTCAGGTGTAACAGTTCATTAGTGTCAGTAGCTGTATACCACCCTGAAAGTCAGGTGTAACAATTCATTAGTGTCAGTAGCTATATACCACCCTGAAAGTCAGGCGTAACAATTCATTAGTGTCAGTAGCTGTATACCACCTTGAAAGTCAGGTGTAACAGTTCATTAGTGTCAGCACCCAAATACCACCCTGAAAGTCAGGTGTAACAGTTCATTAGTGTCAGTAGCTGTATACCACCCTGAAAGTCAGGTGTAACAGTTCATTAGTGTCAGTAGCTGTATACCACCTTGAAAGTCAGGTGTAACAGTTCAGTAGTTTTAGTAGCTATACGCCACCCTGAAAGTCAGGTGTAACAGTTCATTAGTGTTAGTAGCTATACACCACCCTGAAAGTCAGATGTTACAGTTCATTAGTGTTAGTAGCTATACACCACCCTGAAAGTCAGATGTAACAGTTCATTAGTGTTGGTAGCTATATACCACCCTGAAAGTCAGGTGTAACAGTTCATTAGTGTTAGTAGCTATATACCACCCTGAAAGTCAGGTGTAACAGTTCATTAGTGTCAGTAGCTGTATACCACCCTGAAAGTCAGGTGTAACAGTTCAGTAGTGTTGGTAGCTATATACCACCCTGAAAGTCAGGTGTAACAGTTCATTAGTGTTAGTAGCTATATACCACCCTGAAAGTCAGGTGTAACAGTTCATTAGTGTTAGTAGCTGTATACCACCCTGAAAGTCAGGTGTAACAGTTCATTAGTGTCAGTAGCTATACGCCACCCTGAAAGTCAGGTGTAACAGTTCATTAGTGTTAGTAGCTATACACCACCCTGAAAGTCAGATGTAACAGTTCATTAGTGTTGGTAGCTATATACCACCCTGAAAGTCAGATGTAACAGTTCATTAGTGTTAGTAGCTGTATACCACCCTGAAAGTCAGGTGTAACAGTTCATTAGTGTCAGTAGCTATACGCCACCCTGAAAGTCAGGTGTAACAGTTCATTAGTGTTAGTAGCTATACACCACCCTGAAAGTCAGGTGTAACAGTTCATTAGTGTTGGTAGCTATATACCACCCTGAAAGTCAGTTGTAACAGTTCATTAGTGTTAGTAGCTATACACCACCCTGAAAGTCAGATGTAACAGTTCATTAGTGTTAGTAGCTGTATACCACCCTGAAAGTCAGGTGTAACAGTTCATTAGTGTCAGTAGCTATATACCACCCTGAAAGTCAGGTGTAACAGTTCATTAGTGTCAGTAGCTGTATACCACCTTGAAAGTCAGGTGTAACAGTTCAGTAGTTTTAGTAGCTATATACCACCCTGAAAGTCAGGTGTAACATTTCATCAGTGTAAGTAGCTGTATTCCACCCTGAAAGTCAGGTGTAACAGTTCATTAGTGTTGGTAGCTGTATACCACCTTGAAAGTCAGGTGTAACAGTTCATTAGTGTCAGTAGCTATATACCACCCTGAAAGTCAGGTGTAACAGTTCATTAGTGTCAGTAGCTGTATACCACCCTGAAAGTCAGGTGTAACAGTTCATTAGTGTTAGTAGCTGTATACCACCCTGAAAGTCAGGTGTAACAGTTCATTAGTGTCAGTAGCTATATACCACCCTGAAAGTCAGGTGTAACAGTTCATTAGTGTCAGTAGCTATATACCACCCTGAAAGTCAGGTGTAACAGTTCATTAGTGTCAGTAGCTATATACCACCCTGAAAGTCAGGTGTAACAGTTCATTAGTGTCAGTAGCTATATACCACCCTGAAAGTCAGGTGTAACAGTTCATTAGTGTCAGTAGCTGTATACCACCCTGAAAGTCAGGTGTAACAATTCATTAGTGTCAGTAGCTATATACCACCCTGAAAGTCAGGCGTAACAATTCATTAGTGTCAGTAGCTGTATACCACCTTGAAAGTCAGGTGTAACAGTTCATTAGTGTCAGCACCCAAATACCACCCTGAAAGTCAGGTGTAACAGTTCATTAGTGTCAGTAGCTGTATACCACCCTGAAAGTCAGGTGTAACAGTTCATTAGTGTCAGTAGCTGTATACCACCTTGAAAGTCAGGTGTAACAGTTCAGTAGTTTTAGTAGCTATACGCCACCCTGAAAGTCAGGTGTAACAGTTCATTAGTGTTAGTAGCTATACACCACCCTGAAAGTCAGATGTTACAGTTCATTAGTGTTGGTAGCTATATACCACCCTGAAAGTCAGATGTAACAGTTCATTAGTGTTAGTAGCTGTATACCACCCTGAAAGTCAGGTGTAACAGTTCATTAGTGTCAGTAGCTATACGCCACCCTGAAAGTCAGGTGTAACAGTTCATTAGTGTTAGTAGCTATACACCACCCTGAAAGTCAGATGTAACAGTTCATTAGTGTTGGTAGCTATATACCACCCTGAAAGTCAGGTGTAACAGTTCATTAGTGTTAGTAGCTATACACCACCCTGAAAGTCAGATGTAACAGTTCATTAGTGTTGGTAGCTATACACCACCCTGAAAGTCAGATGTAACAGTTCATTAGTGTTAGTAGCTGTATACCACCCTGAAAGTCAGGTGTAACAGTTCATTAGTGTCAGTAGCTATATACCACCCTGAAAGTCAGGTGTAACAGTTCATTAGTGTCAGTAGCTGTATACCACCTTGAAAGTCAGGTGTAACAGTTCAGTAGTTTTAGTAGCTATATACCACCCTGAAAGTCAGGTGTAACATTTCATCAGTGTAAGTAGCTGTATTCCACCCTGAAAGTCAGGTGTAACAGTTCATTAGTGTTGGTAGCTGTATACCACCTTGAAAGTCAGGTGTAACAGTTCATTAGTGTCAGTAGCTATATACCACCCTGAAAGTCAGGTGTAACAGTTCATTAGTGTCAGTAGCTGTATACCACCCTGAAAGTCAGGTGTAACAGTTCATTAGTGTTAGTAGCTGTATACCACCCTGAAAGTCAGGTGTAACAGTTCATTAGTGTCAGTAGCTATATACCACCCTGAAAGTCAGGTGTAACAGTTCATTAGTGTCAGTAGCTATATACCACCCTGAAAGTCAGGTGTAACAGTTCATTAGTGTCGGTAGCTATATACCACCCTGAAAGTCAGGTGTAACAGTTCATTAGTGTCAGTAGCTATATACCACCCTGAAAGTCAGGTGTAACAGTTCATTAGTGTCAGTAGCTGTATACCACCCTGAAAGTCAGGCGTAACAATTCATTAGTGTCAGTAGCTGTATACCACCTTGAAAGTCAGGTGTAACAGTTCATTAGTGTCAGCACCCAAATACCACCCTGAAAGTCAGGTGTAACAGTTCATTAGTGTCAGTAGCTGTATACCACCCTGAAAGTCAGGTGTAACAGTTCATTAGTGTCAGTAGCTGTATACCACCTTGAAAGTCAGGTGTAACAGTTCAGTAGTTTTAGTAGCTATATACCACCTTGAAAGTCAGATGTAACAGTTCATTAGTGTCAGTAGCTGTATACCACCTTGAAAGTCAGGTGTAACAGTTCATTAGTGTTAATAACTATATACCACCCTGAAAGTCAGGTGTAACAGTTCAGTAGTTGTAGTAGCTGTATACCACCCTGAAAGTCAGGTGTAACAGTTCATTAGTGTCAGTAGCTGTATACCACCTTGAAAGTCAGGTGTAACAGTTCATTAGTGTCAGTAGCTGTATACCACCTTGAAAGTCAGGTGTAACAGTTCATTAGTGTCAGTAGCTGTATACCACCTTGAAAGTCAGGTGTAACAGTTCAGTAGTTTTAGTAGCTGTATACCACCTTGAAAGTCAGGTGTAACAGTTCATTAGTGTTAGTAGCTGTATACCACCCTGAAAGTCAGGTGTAACAGTTCATTAGTGTCAGTAGCTATACGCCACCCTGAAAGTCAGGTGTAACAGTTCATTAGTGTCAGTAGCTGTATACCACCTTGAAAGTCAGGTGTAACAGTTCAGTAGTGTTAGTAGCTATATACCACCCTGAAAGTCAGGTGTAACAGTTCATTAGTGGAAGTAGCTGTATACCACCTTGAAAGTCAGGTGTAACAGTTCATTAGTGTCAGTAGCTGTATACCACCCTGAAAGTCAGGTGTAACATTTCATTAGTGTCAGTAGCTGTATACCACCCTGAAAGTCAGGTGTAACAGTTCAGTAGTGTCAGTAGCTGTATACCACCTTCAAAGTCAGGTGTAACAGTTCAGTAGTTTTAGTAGCTATATACCACCTTGAAAGTCAGATGTAACAGTTCATTAGTGTCAGTAGCTGTGTACCACCCTGAAAGTCAGGTGTAACAGTTCATTAGTGTTAATAACTATATACCACCCTGAAAGTCAGGTGTAACAGTTCAGTAGTTGTAGTAGCTGTATACCACCCTGAAAGTCAGGTGTAACAGTTCATTAGTGTCAGTAGCTGTATACCACCTTGAAAGTCAGGTGTAACAGTTCATTAGTGTCAGTAGCTGTATACCACCTTGAAAGTCAGGTGTAACAGTTCATTAGTGTCAGTAGCTGTATACCACCTTGAAAGTCAGGTGTAACAGTTCATTAGTGTCAGTAGCTGTATACCACCCTGAAAGTCAGGTGTAACAGTTCAGTAGTGTTAGTAGCTGTATACCACCCTGAAAGTCAGGTGTAACAGTTCATTAGTGTTAGTAGCTGTATACCACCCAGAAAGTCAGGTGTAACAGTTCAGTAGTGTTAGTAGCTGTATACCACCCTGAAAGTCAGGTGTAACAGTTCATTAGTGTCAGTAGCTGTATACCACCCTGAAAGTCAGGTGTAACAGTTCATCAGTGCCAGCACCCATATACCACCAAGAAAGTCAGGTTAATACAGTTTGTTATTGTTAGAAATCCCCCTAACATCCTGAATTACACTCGCGAGATAACATCAATACAGGTAACACACATAGGACTTCATACAGTGAATACTCATCGGGTGATTTAGTATTCGGCGTTACCTTTGTGACAAGTGGCAAACCCAGTAGAAAACCGGTCAGATGACAGAATAAAGTAAATATTGTTCTGTGTCTGCGCAGAAAGGCGGGGAATTCGTCTATGATGGCGCTGATGATGGATTCCATCATTCCGAACTGAAAATAACAATCACAAACATTATGATGACACAGTACTGACATACATACGTTATGGGCATATTTGTCAATGTGATGTCGTTAGATTTTTCTGAGAGGGAAGTGATCACTACTGGGGTCTGTAGACCAGTATGTACTGGAGACTAATCTAATACCGAGGACACACTCGCTCGCTCACTCACTCCCTCGCTCACTCACTCACTCACTCCCTCGCTCACTCACTCACTCACTCACTCACTCACTCACTCACTCACTCACTCACTCACTCACTCACTCGCTCGCTCGCTCACTCACTCACTCACTCACTCACCCACCCGACCCCTCACTCACCCACCCGACCCCTCACTCACTCACTCACTCACCCACTCACTCACTCACTCACTCACTCACCCACCCGACCCCTCACTCACCCACCCGACCCCTCACTCACTCACTCACTCACCCACTCACTCACTCACTCACTCACTCACCCACCCACCCACCCAATCACCCACTCACTCACTCACTCACTCGTCTATACACACCAACGACTATTTCCACCCTGTGCATCGTATTGTGTCTTACATCCGACCCTATGCGTACCCCGGAACACAGGAGATATTCGCTAAACCCAGCCCGCCAGCGTACCTTGGAATGTGGAGAGACACCCTTGGAAAACGTGATTCAGAGATGTATTTATTTCATCCCCAGTCCAGGCATTGAGATATTGTATTATTGACGGCATGTGCTAGTTTTATGATGTGTCACTCCAGGCATTAAAACATTGTATTATTCTCCAGGATCTACCTGTCATGCCCTGTCATTCCCGCTTGTGTGTACACAGTATCTCTAACGTATCTAACGATGTTTCGTGACTGGTAATCTGAGAATATCATTGTAGCGATGTGTTCAGTACGTCTCTCAGTACGTTTAATGGTTATAGGTCAACACGCCATTTTAATAACACGGAGACCAAATAAAGGTGAAGGTAATACGATAAGCACTGGTGCAATGTGTGTACGAATGTCATTGTATGGATTGGTGGAGGTGGCTGGGGTGGGGAGATGGGGTGGGTGATAGGATGGAGGATGGGAGATTGGTGGGGTGGAGGTGGGGATGGGGAAGGGGCGATGGTGGGCGAGAGATGGGGTGGGTGGATGTGGGGAAGGGGCGATGGGGGTGGGTGATAGGATGGAGGATGGGAGATTGGTGGGGTGGAGGTGGGGAAGGGGAAGGGGCGATGGTGGGCGAGAGATGGGGTGGGTGGATGTGGGGAAGGGGCGATGGGGGTGGGTGATAGGATGGAGGATGGGAGATTGGTGGGGTGGAGGTGGGGAAGGGGGATGGGGAGATGGGGTGGGTGGAGGTTGGGAAGGGGCGATGGGGTGGGTGATAGGATGGAGGATGGGAGATGGGTTGGGTGGAGGTTGGGAAGGGGCGATGGGGGGCGGGAGATGGGTAGGGTGATAGGATAGAGGATGGGAGATTGGTGGGGTGGAGTTTGGGAAGGGGGATGGGGAAGGGGAGATGGGTTGGGTGGATGAGGAGAAGGGGGATGGGGGTGGGGAGATGGGGTGGATGGAGGTTGGGAAGGGCCGATGGGGGGCGGGAGATGGGTAGGGTGATAGGATGGAGGATGGGAGATGGGTGGGGTGGGGGTTGGGATGGGGGATGGGCGATCGGGGTGGGGATGTGGGTGATGAGGTAGAGAAAGGTCGTGGAAGATGGAGTTTGCAGATGAGGAGGACGATCGGGGAGTGTGATACATGTGGATGAGGCAGCTGGATGCTGCACTGGGTGTGGGATGTTTTCGTTCCACGTCAGCAGCAGACCGGGACATTGCAGGAAGGTCATCAACACCTTCTTCATGTCTCGACAAATTCCCCTTGAGATAACGTCAACAAAGGTCAGTTTAATGCAGCCCCAGATGTCATGATAACGCTAAGAGAGTGATCATAAGGGGTGTCGGCGACGAGATAAAAGGAGCTGTTTTCACCATTATAATACGACAAACAAGCGGCAGGAGTAGCCACCTGTGTTATGAGTCACAAGTTATGCCCAGCAAACGTTGTCGTAAATACCTCTGTGTACCTTACACGAGTGAAAACTATATAAGCTAATAGTTCCTTCATGAGATGAAGATTGTGTCTCAGGGAAGAATGTGCCCCCATCACGTAATGGGTCTCCAGTATGTCGGGGCAGAATGTGCCCCCATCACGTAACGTGTCTCCAGTATGTCGGGGCAGAATGTGCCCCCATCACGTAACGGATCTCCAGTATGTCGGGGTAGAATGTGCCCCCATCACGTAACGGGTCCCCAGTATGTCGGGGCAGAATGTGCCCCCATCACGTAACGGGTCTCCAGTATGTCGGGGCAGAATGTGTCCCATCACGTAACGGGTCCCCAGTATGTCGGGGAAGAATGTGCCCCCATCACGTAACGGATCTCCAGTATGTCGGGGCAGAATGTGCCCCCATCACGTAACGGATCTCCAGTATGTCGGGGAAGAATGTGCCCCCATCACGTAACGTGTCTCCAGTATGTCGGGGCAGAATGTGTCCCATCACGTAACGGGTCTCCAGAATGTCGGGGAAGAATGTGCCCCCTTCACGTAACGGGTCTCCAGTGTCTCAGGGCAGAATGTGCCCCCATCACGTAACGGGTCTCCAGTATGTCTGGGAAGAATGTGCCCCCATCACGTGACGGGTCTCCAGAATGTCGGGGCAGAATGGGCCCCCATCACGTAACGGGTCCCCAGTATGTCGGGGAAGAATGTGCCCCAATCACATAATGGGTCTTCTGTGTCTCAGGGCAGAATGTGCCCCCTTCACGTAACGGGTCTCCAGAATGTCGGGGCAGAATGTGCCCCCATCACGTAACGGGTCTCCAGTGTCTCAGGGCAGAATGTGCCCCCATCATATAACGGGTCTGCAGAATGTCGGGGAAGAATGTGCCCCCATCACGTAACGGGTCTCCAGAATGTCGGGGCAGAATGTGCTCCCATCACGTAACGGGTCTCCAGTATGTCGGGGAAGAATGTGCCCCCTTCACGTAACGGGTCTCCAGAATGTCGGGGCAGAATGTGCCCCAATCACGTAACGCGTCTCCAGTGTCTCAGGGCAGAATGTGCCCCCTTCACGTAACGGGTCTCCAGAATGTCGGGGCAGAATGTGCCCCCATCATATAACGGGTCTCCAGAATGTCGGGGAAGAATGTGCCCCCTTCACGTAACGGGTCTCCAGTGTCTCAGGGCAGAACGTGCCCCCATCACGTAACGGGTCTCCAGTATGTCGGGGAAGAATGTGCCCCCTTCACGTAACGGGTCTCCAGAATGTCGGGGCAGAATGTGCCCCCATCACGAAACGGGTCCCCAGTATGTCGGGGAAGAATGTGCCCCCATCATATTATGGGTCTCCAGTGTCTCAGGGCAGAATGTGCCCCCTTCACGTAACGGGTCTCCACAATGTCGCGGCAGAATGTGCCCCCATCACGTAACGGGTCTCCAGTGTCTCAGGGCAGAATGTGCCCCCTTCACGTAACGGGTCTCCAGTTTGTGAAGTCAGAATGTGTCCTCATCCTGTAATCGTGTAACCGTCCCCAGTACCCAGTATCTCGAGGCTGATTTCAACCACCCTGCCCCCCCCCCCCCCCCCCCCCCCCCCCCCCCCCCCCCCCCCCTCATATTATAGAGCGATACAAATTGATAATTACATGTTGTTATTTGACGTCAATACTTATGTAGTTGACACTGGGGGTCCATCCCAGATAACAGGAACTTGATCTGTTTACTCTTGATCTGTTTCCTCTCCCGCGGTAAACACATGAAGTGACACCCTTTCCTTCACTTTCAGGTCATGCATAATGTATTCGCATAAACACATTATATCTATGCAATACATCAGGGCTGAGAAGACACAGTAGAAATAGGCCATACTTAATGATTAATATGTAAAGGTTTGCCCTGGGCAATATTACAGGGATGTTGCTTTGTGTGAGTGTGTGTCGATGGTGTGTACCAGGCACGCCTACTTATCCTCATCTATTCTAGAAAGCTTTACTCCATGTATGTGTGTCTATGTGGCCTTCTAACGTTTCAAAACCCCGTCCTTCGTGGAGATTTCGGGCTAGGACAGGTCCTCACCAATAAACTCGTATGTGAGTCATATGCGACCTGCTTAACACCTGTCTGTAGAACCAGGACATGCTTAACACCTGTCTGTAGAACCAAGACCTGCTTCACACCTGTCTGTAGAACCAAGACCTGCTCAACACCTGTCTGTAGAAACAAGACCTGCTTAACACCTGTCTGTAGAACCAAGACCTGCTTCACACCTGTCTGTAGAACCAAGACCTGCTTCACACCTGTCTGTAGAATCAAGACCTGCTTAACACCTGTCTGTAGAACCAAGACCTGCTTAACACCTGTCTGTAGAATCAAGACATGCTTAACACCTGTCTGTAGAACCAAGACCTGCTCAACACCTGTCTGTAGAACCAAGACATGCTTAACACCTGTCTGTAGAACCAAGACCTGCTTAACACCTGTCTGTAGAACCAAGACCTGCTTAACACCTGTCTGTAGAACCAAGACCTGCTTAACACCTGTATGTAGAACCAAGACATGCTTAACACCTGTCTGTAGAACCAAGACCTGCTTAACACCTGTCTGTAGAACCAAGACCTGCTTAACACCTGTCTGTAGAACCAGGACCTACTTAACACCTGTCTGTAGAACCAAGACCTGCTTAACACCTGTCTGTAGAACCAAGACCTGCTTAACACCTGTCTGTAGAACCAAGACCTGCTTAACACCTGAGGCTACTACTGCTGTTATCTGTCATTCTTTGATATAGACCACGGACCTATATACAAGTCGGTGTATAGACTAATGATTAATACTGGGAATGGGGTTCTGAACAACCGAGGCAGCATTGTAAATTTCTAAATCCTTGAAAGTAGTTTCCTAAAGTAAGCTCGTATGAACTCATAAAGTAAGTTAAAAAGGTCTGACTGTGTGCTGGCTTTGGTTTGGACAATATAGTATACGTGTCACGGAATGTGGTAGTACGCACCCTATGGAACAGGGTAAACGGAAGTGACGTGGAAGCACGTGGAATGAAGTTGAACAAAGCATCATTCCACGTGCTTCCGCGTCACTTCCGTTTACCCTGTTCCATAGGGATGTAACTACCACATACCGTGGTATATGTATGTACGGGGGTTCTAGGACACCGCGTGACGCACCTGTGAGTCCAGTCCCAGAGCTACCAGCATGAAGAAGAACAGGAACGCCCACAGTGGGGCCACCGGCATGCGCGCAATGCCTTCTGGGTACACCACAAACACCAGCCCAGGACCTGGGGAACAAGACCGAGTGAGTGAGGTGAGTGGCGTGAAAGAGATGACACGATAATTCACCCTCCTGTCAAATACTATATACATGCTGAGAATAAACCCTTCAACTACTCACTCCCATCTGAACGTTACAACCCCCATACATAACAAACATACATGGTCCTTTCTAAGCGTAACGCCCCACATGTGTTATCAAATGGGAACGTTACGCCCCACACGCATCGTCTTATCTGATCGTTACGCCCCAGATAGTCCCATCAAAACACACCGAGCCCGATACCTCTTGCCATGTGAGTCTGCGAGGTTTAATTGTAAAACCGTGGTAACTATCTTGAGAATAATAAAACAGAAACATAACAACAAAACAAAACAAAACAAAAACAAAAATCATTATATACGGCCCACATACATAATTATATGTGAAAGTTACCAAGCAAAGACATAAATATATCTGAACGTTACCCCGCAAAGACATAATTATATCTGAACGTTACCTTGCAAACACATAATTATATCTGAACGTTACCCCGCAAATACATAATTATATCTGAACGTTACCCCGCAAATACATAATTATATCTGAACGTTACGCTTCACATACATAGTCAATTAGAACGTTATGCCTCACATACATAATTATATCCAAACTATCCATCCCGCAAACAAGATATTATTTATTGCTGAACTCCCTAAATCCCATCCCATTTCAACACTCCACCCCTAGATCCAATCTGTGCCTGCAACACGCACGCCCAACACACGCAATCCGAATGGAAACCAAACACAAATGTTATTTCTATTTGTATAATGCCATCGTATTGTTTAAGAAAATGAAATACTAATAAAGGACGACAAAAATATTGACAAAGAAAATGCAGTGTTCTTGTGCTTCTCTCCATCTACTCCCAGCTGCTGCAGCAGTGACGACCTACCATCCACGGCAACATCCTGCACGTCCTGGTTGGTGGTGTGCGCCATGAAGCCGAGCACGGAGAAGATGACGAAGCCGGCGAACACGCTGGTGCCGCAGTTGATGAGGGACACGATGATGGCATCCCTGAAACATGAAACATCCTCATCAATCTTGGGTCTCTGCCCACATAAATACGTGGAGCGGTTGGGTAGCCTTGTGGTTAAAGCTTTTATTCGTCACGACGAAGACCCAGGTTCGATTCCCAACATGGGTACATGTTTGAAACCCATTTCTGGAGTCCAACTGGGGCAATATGGCAGTAATTTGGATAGAATAAACGTGAAAACATACACTTATAGCCACGCATTGCACTGACGGGACAACATCATGCAGCAGACACACAGATATGCAGCTGAAGGAGATACTTGGGTACCGCGGACGTTAAAGGGAGACGAGGCTCGGGCAAATTGTCAGCCCTACAAAGTGTTATTTAACTAGTTCAAAACCCAAGCTGTTTGTCTGCTTACTCAATCTCAAAAATAATGATTAACATAATTATAGAGAGGGAATGCCTCAGTGTCACGTGGGTCCATGTCGTCGTCAATCCGCTGTGAAGACTTGCGTCCCTTAGGCAGGCCAGGAACCAATGATCGTAGGTTCGAATCCCGATTCGCTCTTATTATCTTTCGAGGTTTGTCAGCACCATACCCGAACTTGTGGGTTTCACCACATCAGGCTTTCGTCACACATCAAGTTATATAAATATCTGTCCTGTTCAAAGCGGCGTTAGACCAGACCTACTCACTCACTCACATAGATACACTGTCTCAGTTTCACACAAGGCACTTGATACAACGTTTAGGTAACCTACCACGAAGCATGTCTTCGTTTGAAGCCGTGTAGTGATAGAAAGTGTGCTTTCGCTGTAATGTGTAATCCCTGAAGATCTGGGATGGGATAAGTCTTCAGCAACCGAAGCTTGCAGTAAAAGGCGACTATGCTTGTCGTAAAAGCGACTAACGGGATCGGATGGTCAGACTCGCTGACTTGGTTGATACGTGTCAACATATCCCAGTTGCGTGGATCGATGCTCATAATATCAATCACTGGATTGTCTGGTCCAGAATCGATTATTTACGGACCGCCGTCATTTAGCTAGAATATTGCCGAGTGTGGCGGCAAACAAACGACCACTGTTATGTGTAGCCCTGAATGTGTAGTGGTGATATGTCAGAGTACAAGGACATATCTTGGTTCTGCCGATATACCATTGCAATAGCTGGCAACACGTAAGTATTTGAACATACACCTTATTGTTACCTGTGACAGTTGTGTTTGAAGGGGTTGTAGCTGGCCATGGTGATGAGACTGCCGAACCCCGGCCCCAGGGAGTAGAAGATCTGGGTGGCAGCTTCCCGCCACACCTGCCGACGTCAGTATTATTATATTTTACGTCCACTTCAGTAAATATTAACACAATTTGAGATGTTGTCAGTATGGTAATTCAAAAGTTGAAATTGAAAAGGTGGTCAGTTTGTAGATGTCTCTTTCATAACATTATGCAATAGATTCCATATCTTGTATATGATAAATGTACGTAGAACAATTTTAGAGTTCGTTCTTGGAAACAATAAAACTTTGAATGTTACGCGGGGTAAGTTAATAGATGTTTACGTAGATGAACACAACTGACGATAGTAAATCAAAAGAACTTATAATATTTACAATGCAAATTGTTCTTAAAAACAAAAGTTTTGTTCCCAAAGCGGCTTCCTCCATTCAACGCGGCCAAGTTGTCACAGTCACAGGTTTCCGCAATCCAGGGAGGATATTTTACACATTCTCTTAGGTTTGATTAATAGTTTATGTCTGGGCGCATATAATCTTCACATGGCAGTATGTTACCGGGACATGAGTCTATGTTAAAGTATGGGAGTCTAAGCGTTACGATCGTTTCGTGGAACAGGCCTGTATGGCTTATTCATATTTATCTGTAAGACAAGGAAGCAGGGTATTGAGGCAGAGTCAAATGTTGATGTGTTCGGAGCACTGACCGTGACGTCGAGTAGTCGCTCCCACTTGGGAATGATGTAGAAGTTGATGCCGAGCATGTAGCCGTCCAGAGTGACCCCCCGGACCAGCAGACAGACGAGCACGACGTAGGGGAAGGTCGCCATGAAATACACCACCTGCAACACAGGCACCGTCTTGCTAGAGTGAAGTAGTGTACGGCCTACTAGAGACACACCACCCACCTTGACAGATGTCTGTACCCCCTACTAGAGACACACCACCCACCATTCCCGATGTCTGTACCCCCTACTAGAGAAACAAAACCCACCATTCCCGATGTCTGTACCCCCTACTAGAGACACACCACCCACCTTGACAGATGTCTGTACCCCCTACTAGAGACACACCACCCACCTTGACAGATGTCTGTACCCCCTACTAGAGACACACCACCCAACTTGCCCGATGTCTGTACCCCCTACTAGAGACACACCACCCACCTTGACAGATGTCTGTACCCCCTACTAGAGACACACCACCCACCTTGACAGATGTCTGTACCCCCTACTAGAGACACACCACCCAACTTGCCCGATGTCTGTACCCCCTACTAGAGACACACCACCCACCTTGACAGATGTCTGTACCCCCTACTAGAGACACACCACCCACCTTGACAGATGTCTGTACCCCCTACTAGAGACACACCACCCACCTTGACAGATGTCTGTACCCCCTACTAGAGACACACCACCCAACTTGCCCGATGTCTGCACTCCCTACTAGAGACACATCACCCACCTTGCCCGATGTCTGTTCCCCCTACTAGAGACACACCACCCACCTTGCCCGATGTCTGCACTCCCTACTAGAGACACATCACCCACCTTGCCCGATGGCTGTACCCCCTACTTGAGACACACCACCCACCTTGCCCGATGTCTGCACTCCCTACTTGAGACACACCACCCACCTTGCCCGATGTCTGTTCCCCCTACTTGAGACACACCACCCACCTTGACAGATGTCTGCACTCCCTACTTGAGACACACCACCCACTTTGCCCGATGTCTGTTCCCCCTACTTGAGACACACCACCCACCTTGCCCGATGTCTGTTCCCCCTACTAGAGACACACCACGCACCTTGCCCGATGTCTGTTCCCCCTACTTGAGACACACCACCCACCTTGCCCGATGTCTGTACCCCCTACTAGAGACACACTACCCACCTTGACAGATGTCTGTACCCCCTACTTGAGACACACCACCCACCTTGCCCGATGTTTGCACTCCCTACTTGAGACACACCACCCACCTTGCCCGATGTCTGTTCCCCTACTTGAGACACACCACCCACCTTGCCCGATGTCTGTTCCCCCTACTAGAGACACACCACCCACCTTGCCCGATGTCTGTTCCCCCTACTTGAGACACACCACCCACCTTGCCCGATGTCTGTTCCCCCTACTAGAGACACACCACCCACCTTGCCCGATGTCTGTACTCCTTTCTTGAGACACACCACCCACCTTGACAGATGTCTGTACCCCCTACTAAAGTACACCACCCACCTTGCCCGATGTATGTTCCCCCTACTAGAGACACACCACCCACCTTGCCCGATGTCTGCACTCCCTACTAGAGACACACCACCCACCTCCCCGATGTCTGCACTCCCTACAAGAGACACACCACCCACCTTGCCCGATGTCTGATCCCCCTACTAGAGACACACCACCCACCTCCCCGATGTCTGCACTCCCTACTAGAGACACACCACCCACCTTGCCCGATGTCTGTTCCCCCTACAAGAGACACACCTGCCACCTCCCCGATGTCTGTACCCCCTACTATAGACACACCACCCACCTTGCCCGATATCTGTACTCCTTTCTTGAGACACACCACCCACCTTGCCCGATGTCTGTTCCACCTACTAGAGACACACCACCCACCTTGCCCGATGTCTGTTCCCCCTACTTGAGACACACCACCCACCTTGCCCGATGTCTGTTCCCCCTACTTGAGACACACCACCCACCTTGCCCGATGTCTGTACTCCTTTCTTGAGACACACCACCCACCTTGACAGATGTCTGTACCCCCTACTAAAGTACACCACCCACCATTCCCGATGTCTGTACCCCCTACTAGAGACACACCACCCACCTTGCCCGATGTCTGTACCCCCTATTAGAGACACACCACCCACCTTGCCCGATGTCTGTACCCCCTACTAGAGACACACCACCCACCTTGCCCGATGTCTGTACCCCCTATTAGAGACACACCACCCACCTTGCCCGATGCCTGTACCCCATACTAGAGACACACCACCCACCATTCCCGATGTCTGTACCCCCTACTAGAGATACACCACCCACCTTGCCCGATGTCTGTACCCCCTACTAGAGACACACCATCCACCTTGCCCGATGTCTGCACTCCCTTCTTCAGACAAACCACCCACCTTGCCCGATGTCTGCGCTCCCTTCTTGAGGCACACCACCCACCTCCCCGATGTCTGTACTCCCTTCTTGAGGCACACCACCCACCTTGACAGATGTCTACATTTCCTCTTTCAGACACACCACCCAACATGCCCGATGTCTGCGCTCTCTTCTTTAGACACACCACCTACCATGCTCGATGTCTACACTCTCGTCCTCAGACACACCATCCACCATTCCCGATGTCTGCACTCTCTTCTTGAGACACACCACCCACCTTGCCTGATGTCTGCACTCCCTTCTGCAGGCACACCACCCACCTTGCCCGATGTCTGCACTCCCTTCTGCAGACACACAACCCACCTTGCCCGATGTCTGCGCTCCCTTCTGCAGACACACCACCCACCTTTCCCGATGTCTGTACCCCCTTCTGCAGACACACCACCCACCTTGCCCGATGTCTGCACTCCCTTCTGCAGACACACCACCCACCTCGCCTGATGTCTGCACTCCCTTCTTCAGACACACCACCCACCTTGCCCGATGTCTGTACCCCCTACTAGAGACACACCACCCAACTTGCCCGATGTCTGTATCCCCTACTAGAGACACACCACCCACCATTCCCGATGTCTGTACCCCCTACTAGAGACACACCACCCACCTTGACAGATGTCTGTACCCCGTACTAGAGACACACCACCCACCTTGCCCGATGTCTGCACTCCCTTCTTCAGACACACCACCCACCTTGCCCGATGTCTGCGCTCCCTTCTTGAGGCACACCACCCACCTCCCCGATGTCTGTACTCCCTTCTTGAGGCACACCACCCACCTTGACAGATGTCTACATTCCCTCTTTCAGACACACCACCCAACATGCCCGATGTCTGCGCTCTCTTCTTTAGACACACCACCTACCATGCCCGATGTCTACACTCTCGTCCTCAGACACACCATCCACCATTCCCGATGTCTGCACTCCCTTCTTGAGACACACCACCCACCTTGCCTGATGTCTGCACTCCCTTCTGCAGGCACACCACCCACCTTGCCCGATGTCTGCACTCCCTTCTGCAGACACACAACCCACCTTGCCCGATGTCTGCACTCCCTTCTGCAGACACACCACCCACCTTTCCCGATGTCTGTACCCCCTTCTGCAGACACACCGCCCACCTTGCCCGATGTCTGCACTCCCTTCTGCAGACACACCACCCACCTCGCCCGATGTCTGCGCTCCCTTCTTCAGACACACCACCCACCTTGACAGATGTCTGTACCCCCTACTAGAGACACACCACCCACCTTTCCCGATGTCTGTACCCCCTACTAGAGACACACCACCCACCTTGCCCGATGTTTGTACCCCCTTCTGCAGACACACCACCCACCTTGACAGATGTCTGTACCCCCTACTAGAGACACACCACCCATCTTTCCCGATGTCTGTACCCTCTACTAGAGACACACCACCCACCTTGCCCGATGTCTGCACTCCCTTCTTGAGGCAGAAGAAGAGGACGATCCAGGACAAGAGGAGGACAAAGGCCAGCTTGAGGCTGACTCCGCCCACGTTTCCCAGGTCCTCGGCCTGGTCGATGTTTAACACGAAGTTACTGCAAAGAGAACTCGATCTTCAAGACTAACAAACTTGATTCTATCATGAATTGGGAAAATGGTAGATTTTGGTTGATCAATCAGAAGTTTCAAATCACAATAACCACCTCTGATTGAAACAGCTGATTTGACGTCTGCATATGTATCTTATTTGCTCAATCATCATAGATTACAAAATGCAGATTTACACACCAATGAAAATTCAACGTGGAGCTAAATAAATTGCCTGTAGAGTTGCATTTAACAGCTGAAACCTGACGTTGGGTTCAAAATTCAGTTAAACGCAGTTACTTTCTACATGTAGGGTAGCTCTGTAATGAAAATACAGCATCATTATCACCTATTTCTGTCTGCATTAGAGTCCAAAGGAAAAAGAGTCCATTAATTATGCTCAGATCCATCTTCCCAAGGCAAGGGAGCTAACTGGCTATAACAGTCCGGTTCCACCCTTGCCGAACTGGGCTGGAATTATGGAGTATTTTGGTTGAACTAACGAGTCAATGCATAGGCCAATCAAAATCACGTAACGAAATCGACATCCGGTTCGTAAACTGCCGTACAGATTTCGGTCGATTGCAGGATTAGCAAAGCATGTGTACCGCCAACTTGGCGTCAACAGATATTTTCCAAATTTTCCAAATTTTCATGTTTTTAATCAAGGTGCTCACGTGATTTGATGTACTTCGCTGTGTAAGACCCGTTTTATCACAATATAGGTTTTGATAATCGATCAGATCGTCTTGACTGGCGCCGCCATTTTTGGGGGAAATGCAAGTGATGTGAGAGATGGAATCGGAATCTTATTGCTCAACAGGAGGGCAAAGAAGGGACATTATTCATAAGTCACTGGTGGCGCTACGATCGAGCCCAGAAATTCCAACCTAGTTCGGCAAGGGTGGAAACTGGACTTTTACAGCCTCGGGAAGATGGCTCAGATCTTTCGCGAAAACTTCTAGTTGATTTCCCAAAGTGTTTACTTACGACCAATACTCCTCGCTTGGTGTGATCAGTCTCCAACTCTTGGTGTCGTTGCAGGCGGTGAAGTTGCTGATGGTCAGGTTGTAGGTCAGGTCGCTGTAGTTGAGGTTCATTTGACTTAGTGTCGTGTTAACACAGTCTGGCTCCATGTGCCCTGGCGCAGAATCACGTATGTTAGTCAATCATGTAGGTTATTAGGTAGTGAAGTTTGTCGGTGAACTTAAATAGGACAGGTTGTCTGTTATGACCAAGTTAAAACAAGCGGTCGTGTAAGATTACAACAAATAAACTTTCATAGATCTGAGTGATATTACGAAATGACAGATTTAAATTGGTATTAGTCCTATAGTCCCAACAAATTCTTCATTGCAGATACAGCCTTGGGTCAAGAACAGGCCCTCCTATCAATTTGAATAAAAAGCGTTGAATGGGTTAAAATGAAGGCGTATTGGTATCATAGCTTCCGTGTTGGAACCGAATGCATTTATCATACGATCGAAAAGAAACACAATGGGATTTAACAGCGGTCGTGGGCGGAATATGTGTACAACCGATAGGGGGAAACTCGGGTCAAATGCATCTTCCCGAGGCAAAGGAGTTAACTGACCATAACAGTCCAGTTTCCGCCATTGTCGAAGATGGCTGGAATTATGGAGTTAGATTTTGGCTGGACTAACGAGTCTATGCATAGTCCAATCAAACTAGCGCACCGAAATTGAAATCCGGTTCATGAACTGTCCTGCAGATTTCGGTCGATTGCAGGATTTGCATAGCATGTGCACCGCCAACTCGTTGTCAACAGATATTTTCCAAATCTTTTCAAGTTTTTGATCAAGGTGCTCACGTGATTTGATGCACAGGTTTTCTCACAATGTAGATCTTGACTGTCCATCAGATCGTCTTGACTGGGCGCCGCCATTTTGTTTGAGGCAAATGCAAGTGATACGAGAGGTGGAATCTGATTGGTCTATAGGAGAGGCAAAGAAGGGACTTAACTCGTAACAACCACTGGTAGCGCTCCGTTCGAGCTCAGGAATTCCAACCTAGTCCGGCAAGGGTTGAAACTGGACTTTTAAAGTCAGTTAACTCCCTTGCCTCGGGAAGATGGTGTTGTCGTTCGGCGAAATGCGGATATAACTAATATGACCGAATGTGTTCGGTTGACGGTGTTGTCGCTTCCAATAGCTGCTGTGTGGTGATGAGAACCGCTATTTGGATAATAGGTACTGCATTTGCATCGCATTTGAAACTATTCCTTCGCACTTGGTAGCTATACACACGATATTGCTTACATTAATTCCGATAATGCTTCTTTTCAATCTAATAGATAGGAGGGCCTGTAGAAGAGCTAGGGGCTTAGGGTTAAAGCCGATTTTAATAGAATTTCAGTTGTCAGCTTCGTGTAGCGTGTCGCGTGTCTGTTCGATATTGGGGGAAAGCCCGGATTGGTGCAAGTCTCGGACATTTGCTTGGTGAAACCAACGAGGGCGGTGTTAGAGATTCGAACCCGCGATTAACCTATCCAGCACGTCTAAGGGACGCAACTCTGCATATAGGGACCTCCTGCTCCTTAGGCGATCTCATCACTCGTGTCACAGGACTGGAAGAAATAACCAACACTTGGAACATTTCCGTCTTCATGTGATAATGTATAGTTTAGACTAGTTTAACGCCGCTTGAAACATTTATCAGATCCGTTACTACGTAACCTATTGTTGGAGGAAAGTCCGAAGCAATGCAGGGCTTTCATGTTTACGATATGGTGCTGACAAACCCATGTAATTAGGGTGAACTGGATTCAATCCCGCGATCATAGGTTTCTGACACGCCTAAGGGACGCAACTCTGCACAGATAATTGCGGCGCTTTAGACGACTGGGCCATCGGTGTCTCCTGTACCTTCTGCTGATACCTACTCATAGTGATGTTGAGTTTGTCGACGTCGGTGAGGTTGTCAAACGATGGTCTAGCTTCCATCGTGCATGCTGGAGTGTTCCAGGAGTTGGTGCAGCTCATCCAAGGGAGGTCGCCGTCGAGGCTGATGATGGACACCATGAGGTAGAACATGCCGTACATGATGAGGACGTTGTAGTAGACGCACACCATAGTCGATATCATTACCACAGCAAACCCGATACCTGTGAGTGAGTGAGTGAGTGAGTGAGTGAGTTAGAATCAAGCAGTATGGCTTCAAGCTATATTCTTGCAATGTGGCGACTCGCTTATACCTATGTGAAAATTTAAGTATTTAGCGTTACGGGAGGCCGGGGGTGCCGCCAGTCCACCCCACCGCCCCTGTACCTGTACCAATATATAAACAGCATTATCCGAGAAGAAAGTGGGGGTTAAACGTGAACAGTACAGTAGTGTAAGCACACGGTAACACTGACCATTATAACACATACTGAACAGCGGGTTGACATAGATACTCACCCTTGAACAGCGGGTTGACATAGATACTCGCCCTTGAACAGCGGGTTGACATAGATACTCACCCTTGAACAGCGGGTTGACATAGATACTCACCCTTGATCAGTGGGTTGACATAGATACTCACCCTTGATCAGTGGGTTGACACAAGTACTCACCCTTGAACAGCGGGTTGACATAGATACTTACCCCTGAACAGCGGGTTGACATAGATACTCACCCTTGATCAGTGGGTTGACATAGATACTCACCCTTGAACAGCGGGTTGACATAGATACTCACCCTTGATCAGTGGGTTGACATAGGTACTTACCCCTGAACAGCGGGTTGACATAGATACTCACCCTTGAACAGCGGGTTGACACAAGTACTCACCCTTGAACAGCGGGTTGACATAGGTACTTACCCCTGAACAGCGGGTTGACACAAGTACTCACCCCTGAACAACGGGTTGACATAGATACTCACCCTTGAACATCGGGTTAACACAGGTACTCACCCCTGAACAGCGGGTTGACGCGCCAAATGCTGATTGGACCCAGGGAGGCGAACTGACCAAGGGCCAACTCGAAGAAGAACATTGGGAGTCCTGCCAGCGCCAGCATTATCACGTAGGGCACCAGGAAGGCCCCTGGGGGGAGGGAGCACATTTCAGTACCACAGTGTACTTGAGTCATATGTACATGGCCAAAACATTAATTGTTTCTCGTTCATATTTAGAGGGATTGACAAAATTAGTACAATTTGACAAATAAATAATGTATTATGGCTCGGCAATATTACAGCTGCGTAGACATTTACATGAGGACAGCTTGCTGTCAGTTATATACAAGACGGCATGTAGTCGGCAGTATTACCGCTATACAAGACGGCCTGTAGTCTGTATATTACCGCTATACAAGACGGCCTGTAGTCGGCAGTATTACCGCTATACAAGACGGCCTGTAGTCTGTATATTACCGCTATACAAGACGGCCTGTAGTCGGCAGAATTACCGCTACACAAGACGGCCTGTAGTCGGTATATTACCGCTACACAAGACGGCATGTAGTCGGCAGAATTACCGCTATACAAGACGGCCTGTAGTCGGTATATTACCGCTACACAAGACGGCCTGTAGTCTGTATATTACCGCTATACAAGACGGCCTGTAGTCGGCAGAATTACCGCTATACAAGACGGCCTGTAGTCGGTATATTACCGCTACACAAGACGGCATGTAGTCGGCAGAATTACCGCTACACAAGACGGCCTGTAGTCGGTATATTACCGCTACACAAGACGGCCTGTAGTCTGTATATTACCGCTATACAAGACGGCCTGTAGTCGGCAGAATTACCGCTATACAAGACGGCCTGTAGTCGGTATATTACCGCTACACAAGACGGCATGTAGTCGGCAGAATTACCGCTATACAAGACGGCCTGTAGTCGGTATATTACCGCTACACAAGACGGCATGTAGTCGGCAGTATTACCGCTATACAAGACGGCCTGTAGTCGGTATATTACCGCTACACAAGACGGCATGTAGTCGGCAGAATTACCGCTATACAAGACGGCCTGTAGTCGGTATATTACCGCTACACAAGACGGCATGTAGTCGGCAGAATTAACGCTATACAAGACGGCCTGTAGTCGGTATATTACCGCTACATCATGACGGACTGTAGTCGGTATATTACCGCTATACAAGACGGCATGTAGTCGGCAGAATTACCGCTATACAAGACGGCCTGTAGTCGGTATATTACCGCTACATCATGACGGACTGTTGTCGGCAGAATTAACGCTATACAAGACGGCCTGTAGTCGGTATATTACCGCTACATCATGACGGACTGTTGTCGGCAGAATTAACGCTATACAAGACGGCCTGTAGTCGGTATATTACCGCTACATCATGACGGACTGTAGTCGGCAGTATTACCGCTATACAAGACGGCCTGTAGTCGGTATTATTATACTATACACGATCGCCTGCAGTCGGCAGTATTACCGCTATACAAGACGGCCTGTAGTCGGTATTATTATCCTGTACACGATCGCCTGCAGTCGGCAGTATTACCGCTATACAAGACGGCCTGTAGTCGGTATTATTATCCTGTACATGATCGCCTGCAGTCGGCAGTATTACCGCTATACAAGACGGCCTGTAGTCGGTATTATTATCCTGTACACGATCGCCTGCAGTCGGCAGTATTACCGCTATACAAGACGGCCTGTAGTCGGTATTATTATCCTGTACACGATCGCCTGCAGTCGGCAGTATTACCGCTATACAAGACGGCCTGTAGTCGGTATTATTATCCTGTACACGATCGCCTGCAGTCGGCAGTATTACCGCTATACAAGACGGCCTGTAGTCGGTATTATTATACTATACACGATCGCCTGCAGTCGGCAGTATTACTGCTATACAAGACGGCCTGTAGTCGGTATTAATATACTATACACGATCGCCTGCAGTCGGCAGTATTACCACTATACAAGACGGCCTGTAGTCGGTATTATTATACTAAACACGATCGCCTGCAGTCGGCAGTATTACTGCTATACAAGACGGCCTATAGTCGGTATTATTATACTATACACGATCGCCTGCAGTCGGCAGTATTACCACTATACAAGACGGCCTGTTGTCGGTATTATTATACTAAACACGATCGCCTCCAGTCGGCAGTATTACTGCTATACAAGACGGCCTATAGTCGGTATTATTATACTATACACGATCGCCTGTAGTCGGCAGTATTACTGATATAACAGACGGCCTGTAGTCGGTATTATTATACTATACACGATCGCCTGTAGTCGGCAGTATTACTGCTATAACAGACGGCCTGTAGTCGGTATTATTATACTATACACGATCGCCTGCAGTCGGCAGTATTACCGCTATACAAGACGGTCTATAGACGGCAATATTAATCTTCCCGAGGCAAGAGAGTTAACTGACGATACAAGTCCAGTTTCCACCCTTGCCAAACTAGGCTGGAATTCCGGAGGGATATTTTTGCTCGTAAACTCGTTGTCAACAGATATTTTCTAAATCTGTTCCTTTTTTTAATCAAGGTGCTCAAGTGATTTGATGCACTTCGCGATGTAAGACTCGTTTTATCACAATAGGTGGAATCTGATTGGTCCACAGGAGAGACAAAGAAGGGACATAACTCGTAATAGCCACTGGTGGCGCTACGATCGAGCCCAGAAATTCCAGCCTAGTTCGGTAAGGGTCGAAACTGGACTTTTAAAGTCAGTTGACTCTCTTGCCTCGGGAAGCTGGCAATATTACCCCTACATTATGACGGAGTGCAGTCGGCAACATTACCGCTACAATACGCCAGTTATTTTACCGCTATTGGCAATACTGTATTTCTAGAATGCAAACAAAGACTAGTTCAATGAAGGACAATTTCTTCCATAGCAGCCCCACGCACAATCTCATTAAAATCAGATCTTAGTTCTCGCTACCGCTAAACAACGATCTGAGGACATTCCATTACGAGTCACGTCAGACCGACCTTGCGCGAACTTTGACCGACCAATGGAATGACCAATCAGAAGGCAGCTTTCTCGTGCGTTATGGCACTAATTTCAAATTGGCGACTACGCTTGGAAACATATTTTGACAAATTCTCGATTACAAATTTAAAACCTGAACAAAAGGACATTCTGGAATCGCTAATAGATGGTCTAAATTGTATGGATTCAGTCGTTAAACTCGTAACTATCGTTTGCAATACCCCGTTTTAAAGTTTTAGAGTTTGCATGAGTAGAAATCACATTCCGACTGTCACTTTCCTGATCTGGTAAGCGAAGCTCTGATTGGTCGGATGATAGGTCGTTCTGACGTGACCCCTAATGGGATGTCATCATATCTTTGTTTAGCGGCAGCGAGAACTAAGGTCTGATTTAATGAGATTGCGCCACGCATTTCGAATCATAAACAGTTCAACAATTCACTTTGTAAATCTATGCACAATGTTTCACACCAGACCAACCCTATCATACTCTTAATCAGATCAACAGAGTTCCAAATATCCATGTTGTTTTTAACACTGAAGTAAATGTAATGACCATGTAATCATTACGTCATCTTACAGCTGGATGTGTATTGGGTTGGAGGCAGAAAATAGGTCTGTCACGTGATCACTGAGCGTTCACTCACCTCCGCCATTCCTGAAGCACAGATAGGGGAACCTCCAGACGTTGCCAAGTCCGACGGCGTACCCGACACACGACATGAAGAAGTCCAGTTTGCCACCCCAGCTGCCCCGCTCCGGTTCTACTGCTGCCACACTGTCTCCCGCCATCTGGAACAAACACACGCAATGCTTTTACGAGCGCTTCCAGTTGTCCCAATATCGCACTGTATCCACGGATAAATTTGGTTATATACCAGTATATCGACTTATTAGTTCACGTTCGTCTGATATCTCATGCAGGAATCCTGGATTTAGTGTAACCATCAGTGTATCTCACCGAGATTGTGGTTGGAACTAGCTCCTTCGTGTTATCCTGGCAAGCGGTATATGAGTATGGCGCGGGAAATACGCAGAAGGGATTGTGTACTAACGTTTTTCAGAAGTTAAGCTGGCTGTGAGTCCCTTCGTCCTAGGTTTGATTTATTTGTTTCTGGTTTAAAGCCACTCTCAGCAATATTCCAGCTATATGAAGGCGGTCTAATAATAATCAAGTCAGGATCAGACAATCCAGTGATTGATATCAATCAATTGGGATACGATGACAAGTATCAACCAAGTCAGCGAGCTTAACCACCCGATCCCGTTAGTCGCCTCTTACGACAAGCACAGGCGCCTTTAACGGCAAGCATGGGTTGCTGTAGATCTAGTCTAACCCGGATCTTCACGGGTATCGTTCTAAGTAATGTGATAGGCAATTACAATGTGAAGCTAATCAGTGTTTATGGCATAATATGTAACCGAATATACAATGCAAATACTACATGTGATGTTATATCCAAAGGAAGGTCACGAATTACATTATTTAGCATAATAAGAACAGAAAATAATTTGAGATGAAGTCGGTATAGTCTGATACAGATACGAGAGTTTGTATGTACACTTCATTCGCCCAGCAATGGTAGCAATGGCACACTGCCGTGGAAGCCCCATAGTTAGGCTGGCTCGGGTTGTGGCTGCAGTGTCGTTACAAAGTTTGATCCCTACATACTGAGCTCAACACTCCACTTACCATCAGAAGTGACGTATCAGGTCTAACTACAAGCAAGTGCAGCACGCTCCGTTAAAACACGTTGCCGATAACACAGGTGAAGCTTAGATTATGCAGTACTCCTCACACAATAACAGAGCCAATGTAAAGGTCAGTGTTTGTTATCTCTCTTTAACATTGAATACTCAACCTCCATAACTCTGTCATGTCAACACGATCAACGCTAAGATATATTTAACAGGGGACACCGGTGGCCAAGTCGTCGTGCAGCTGTGTCCCCGAGGCGTTCTAGAAATCTGTGATCGTGGGTTCGAATCCTGGAATCGCTGTGATTATGTTTCTAGGTTTGCCAGCACCATGTCCGTGCTCATGGGTTGTATCAAAGTGATAAACTTCAAAAACCTGTATCTCTTCGAGATGTCCTGCCACGTGAAGCTGACACGCCGTTATATAACTGGAATACTGTTCAAAGAGGCGTTGCACTCACTCACTCACTCACTCACTCACGCGGCGGCTAGTCACAACTTTGGCGGAATAAGGGAAAAGTTTCTAGTTTCGTCTACCGCGTATTGTAATTTCGTTGTCGCCCGAACAAAATGTTGAGTGAGTTTTTTCCTGTATTTAGCAGCATTCGAGCAGTACCACAGCGGATACACGAAGAACATCGTCCACTTGTTTGGAATCGAACCCGGATCTGGGGCGTCACGAGCGGCCACTTTAACCAATAGACTATCCCATTTTACCCGGAAGTAACAGCGCAATACTATTCTTTACTCTCAGAAACAAATAAGATAAATGTTTATAAAAAGTCTTTGAGTTCAAAACATTTTTCGGTAAGCAAAGTAACTTAACAAAGGAAAGAAAATGAAAATAAATCAGTGACGCAATCGCGTTGTGTTGAAATCTCCGTCGTCTAAACACTGGCTACGTTTATTCACGCGAGGGAGATAACAGTTTTCCATTGAGTAACTGAAAAGTTTCCATTCGTTTTTCATATGTGAGACAAAACAGCGTCCTAGAACCATCCATACCCGTCACCCGTGGCGTGCTGGTAAGACGGGTGTCGAGGTCAGGAGCCGGGCGTAATCAATCAGCGTAGCTTACCCCCACCCCCTAGTGCATAGCGTGGTGACCTGGGTACCCCCCACCCCCTTGTACATAGCGTGGTGACCAGGGTACCCATCCGACGCAGACATTGACGACAAGAAGTGTCTGGGGTGCTATGTATAATGGACAACGAGCACATGTCTTCATTCACCGAGTTGAAATCCCATAGACAATGTTTTTAGATTTGTCAGTGTCAAACTCGTGATCGCGGGTTTTACAAAAGTGGTAAACGTCTAAGACCTGCATTACTTCGGGTTTTGTTCCCACATCATTTGTTTGTTTGTTTGTTTGTTTGTTTGTTTAACGCTGCACTCAGCAATATTCTTGCTATATAACGGCGGTCTGTAAATAATCGAGTCTGGACCAGACAATCCAGTGATTGGCATCATGAGCATCGATCTACGCAATGGGGATACGATGACATGCATCAACCAAGTCAGCGAGCCTGACCACCCGATCCCGTTAGTCGCCTCTTACGACAAACATGGGTTGCTGAAGACCTATTCTCTACCCTGATCGTCACAGGCTGACACGCAGTGACATAACTAAAATACTGTTAAAAGTTGCGTTAAACCAAACTCACTCACTCACAGACAGGCCCTGTGGCAGGCTATGTGATTCACGTCTACGCCTACCCAACGCCCTATTACCCGACCCTACCCGGGTACCCACCACCCTATTACCTGACCCTACCCGGGTACCCACCACCCTATTACCTGACCCTACCCGGTACCCACTGTAGGTCTCAGGAGATGTCTTAAAATGTCCGATTGGGAACATTTTTAGCATAGCCCTGGCAAAACGTATTTAGATACATGTATTAAACAATTTGGTCATTCATACACTGAAGTTGAATTAAGTTATATCGTTATTCCACCATATGAAAAATCAGAAGGAATGCACACAAATTAGTGACTTAATTGTAGTGTAACCATAGAGGTCTAGATAATTATTGCCATTAAACAATATATCACGTGACTAACCACGGGTCCGGGTAGTCCTGTGGTTACCCGTCCCAGCCCTAGTATTAATATTAGCATTGTTGCTTGTTTACCAATCCCCATTTTATTTTACATATATATGTGATGAAATAAATATATGTTTAAACCATGATTTATTTATCCCGCCATGGCTCATTACATATGGATTGCTGCTCGACAAGTGTCGTCCGCCGATTGGTTGCTTGGATACCCGCTTCCGGTAACCTCCCAAAACCCCTACATCCCATTTCCCCTACAGCTTAAGACAACAAAGTTCACGGTCCATGGCACTGCTAATCCCTAGTCTGTTACCTATTTCATACAATGGAACAACCCAAGAAACTCGAATAGATTGAGATAAATATTTAATTACGATTACGATATTAATCAAAATTCATAATACATTATAATAAAAGGTTCATTTTTCAAAATTCATAATACATTATAATAAAATGTTCATTTTTCAAAATTCATAATACATTTAACAAAATGTTCATTTTTCATCTCAACTGTAAATCGTCTCATCTCAGTTTCTCAGTGTAATAATTGTTTCTTCCTATTGTTGTTTGTAATTTCTAAAAATTGTCTTCTCATCATACAGGCATCTTTCATCACACTTACATTAATTTTTTTTTTTTTTAACTTTCCTTTAAGTCCCCTAATCCCCTAAAGCTCTACCCCTTTCATTTCTACTACCTCTACTCCAGACCTTAATCTCTCCTTTAGGTGAGTTCATAATGCCAGACAGGTAAATGCCGCGTGTTGTTTTAACTAATTGTAGGGGAACTGGGTTGTAGGGGAAATGGGATGTAGGGGTTTTGGGAGATAACCCCGCTTCCTATACCCAGTCTCTGTTTGCAAAAGGCAGAATTTAAGGTGATCAAATGAGTCGTGAGATAGTGTGTGTAGGGAGATGTAGAAATGTTGAACTCAAACCAACCTCGTGATGATAATAGCCGAGAGTTATTTAACCCGTCAATCATACGTCAATCTAAGATATTTGAAGATCACTTGTACGGGGCGAATAACTAGGTGCACCGGATTCAACACCTCAACTAGAGCGGTCTTCGTTTTATCATAAACACGCGTGGATATAGAGGTTATCACGCGAGTGTGTTTGTGGATGGTAAATATCCTGCATTAGGAATAAACATTGTATTTAGCGAGCCTTCGCGAGCTAAAAACATAGTGTTTATTCCTAATACAGGATATTTACCATCCACAAACACACAAGCGTGATAACCTCTTTATCATATAATGTCATTCTTTAATTCTGTTCTTTAAAATCGCTTTCCCTCTCTCACAAACATTACCGAAACATTGCGAGTTTTCCTGGAATGCGCGCATTAATATTTATTACGTCACAGGGTAAGTGATGTGTCAGTGACAATGACAGTAGCCAATATAGTTCCAACTGAAATCTGTTTCTTATAAATCTTATACAGTGGCGAAGCAACATATACGCAAAACAACAATTGTTTTTAATTGCCTTTCGCGGTAATCCATCGGTCTGTCAGCTAGAGTAACTGCCCTTTGTCAAAGGGAAGCTACTCTAACCCTAGTCTATGAGACGTCACGGCCACGGTCAGACGTTGTTGACAGTCGGTCTGTCCTGTCATAACGTTCAGAAGTGTAGTCATATGTTCACACAGCGACAAAACGAAACAAGGTAACAATTCAAACATATTTCGGCCAAATCCAACTGTTTTAATTTGTGGAGAAGGTTTCAAGCCGCAGAGGTGTACAAGCACAGATGTGGCTACTGATCCCGCTTGGCTAGGCCTCGTGCCCTCGCAAAATTGTTTCGAAATTTATATCTCCAAAGTTGCCAAAACTTATAAAATGCCTTAGCTACGTCACAGTTAGACACTGATTTTCAGTGTATTAGACTGTTCTTTTGATAATGATAGCAATTATCCCTGTAGTTTATCCAGATTCCCGATGGTTAATTCTGACTCGATCGCCGAATGACGAGGGCGACGCTATGTTTGTTTATAAACAGTGAAAGGATATCGTTTTTATCCGTTGGCTTT